AGTGAAAACAACCAGAAAGCTCATGTCGTCAGCCATTACGAAAACCTGTTTGACCTCGTTCAACCAACCACCTGACCCTTCCAAACTGAGCGGCCCTCCAATCTAGCCTGGAAGAAATTTGTCACCCATTTTACCGAGCTAGTGGCATATGTTTTAGAAGCTGAATTCTTCAGCCCGAAACAAACGAAGTCCTACTTGGGGAGCCGGATTCAAAAATGCGTGGCCTTAAGGGATTCCTCCTGGCGTACTTATAAAGCCTTTCCGAGTGCGCGCGCTTGGAACTTGCATTGCTCAATGAAAGAGTTGCGTCTGATTGGTCCACGAAAACAAACTTAAGCAACAACAAGATTTGATGACGGACTTCAGCACTAATCCTGCAACACTCTACTAACATGTCGATAAGCTCCGGGGAGTGCAGCGTGGAATCACATTCCACTCACAGCAGATGATTTGGCATTAAAGATACAAGAGACGACTAACGGCCATCGGCAACAGTTCATCCATATTTTCCAAAGTGAATCAGCACGATACGATAATCACCTTTGATATTGCTCACACACACTCCAGAGTTGAGCCACATGTATTTTACTGCAGCGAATGTGGTAAAAATGCTACTGCCCTTGCGCATGCATGACTCGCCTGAGGTGGATTGTATAAGGCCTTAGTTATTAAAGACAATCGTCATGAACATTATCGAACCTGACGCTCGGTTCTTTAAACCATGTCCTGATTAACTTAGAGTTCCGTAAGGTGGAAACATGGAATAGCCACTTATCTACAAGAGTGGCAATCGTGCGAAACAATCTTGCCAAACAACAGCCTGTGCTTGATTATCTGTAGTTATAAGAGGTATTATCGTAGAAGCGCTCATTGGATGCAACTAGATTAAGAACATCCTGGTGTTACCTTAGCACAGATTCCGCCGCAATCGGTCCTGCACTACGAGCCTTTTGCTAACCTAAACAAGCTGGATGGAGTCAGTCGATGTCAAGGTAGGAGTCGAGGTCGTCTATCTGGACTTCTCAAAGGCATCCGATTAGCTGGAGCATTGCATTCTCCGTCACAAACATTGAAGCTATGGAGTCGGCGACCGTGTGAGTGTCCGCAGCGCCTATTCCAGTTCAGTTGGAGTCCAGGGTGGTGCACCCAAGGATCCATACAGGGAACATGTAGACTCCTAGTCTTCCTAAGCGCGCATGCTAGTGTACCGCAGTCAAACATTTTCTTGTTTGTAGACGATCTCGAAGTTTGGCATAATTCCAAGATAGTGGACAATCACACGGCACAACAGAGCAATCTCGACAAGGCCTATTCATGGTCATCCAAGAAGCAGATGCAGGTAAACGTGGTGAAATGCCAACTTCTGAGTATACTTCATCAGCGTACTCATTAACGTCGACTGGGAGAACAGCAGTTGCAACATGCTTCGTGCAAAATCGATCTCAGAATAATCGTGTAGGATGACCTCGGTTGCTCGAAAATGGTCAGGAAGTCATACAGGAGAGCCAGTCACCAACTTGAACCCCTGCGGTTGGCGTTCGCGAAGTAAGAGCCTTCTACCCATTTGCATGGGCTGAATTCCTACATAAGGCCCCATGTAGAATATGCGATCATTGACTTGCGTCGTTGATGTGCAGGTGATACTGATGCGCTTGAAGTTTTACAACGTAAGAAGTGTACATTCGTGAGAGGAAGGTTTCACTTCTACTACCAACGCAACCAAAACCCCTTGGCTTGTACATCGGTGAAGATGGGCGCTTGCGAGGTCTAACCTTGGTGTACCAAATACTCGCAAGCCCCAATCACACTTGTCATAAACATTTGCAACTCAACCATCAAGCTAACCTAACACGCGCACAAATTAAACTAAACATGCAGTACAGCCGAGTTGACCGCCAATAAAAAGTTTTCCAAATTCAGGTAGTACAAAATACAGCGCTTTGCAAACTCGCACTCGGCGCACCTAACTCTTGTCCGGCTATCCAATCGGCAAGTAGTGGTAGGCAACAAATGCATCCACGCATGCATCTGCATTTGGGGCGCGCAAAATTGCGTGCGAAGCCATGGATTTCGCCCTACACTTTGATGACATGCATGACAGCCCTGCAACAGTTCCAGTTCATAGAGTTAGGCACAGAGATACCATTTGAGCCAGTCGAACGTTTGATAGCTTTGGGTGCAGCGTGGAATGCTGATTATCGTTTTTGGGGGCAAACTAAGCCAGAGCACACGGAAAGCTTAGTTGGCAGTTAATGCGAACTGTCCGTCGTTTGTCTATGTTTTATCAGGAAAACTGCAATCGGCAGTGGATGAATACTGGGTCTACTCTGGTATAGATGAGACACCGCGTTTAAAGACGAACGTTTACGTGAGCTGCAACTGTCGCTGTTATTTCGCGCCGTTCCATCCGATCTGGGGACAGTTAGCTGTCTGGCTACTTCTGCCACACCAAAAACTCTTTAATCAGACAGACCGACCTGGACCTGAGCAATGGATATTCGATGGACGATTATTATTATTATTATCAAAGTAAGTGCAAAGCACAGTTATTATCAACGCTGTTGTAGCCTTAAATCTAGCTTCCAAGTAATCCTTTTGGAAAAACAGGCACCACTTTCAAGTAGGCCTTTTACATAAAGCATAATAGCCGCTCAATAGATGAGTATTTGTTTGGTTTCAGCAAAGTTCGTTTCAGGAGTGAGTCATACTACGTGGAACTTCTCTTTCCTTTCTGTGAATGCCATGCTTGCTAAGATGTAACCGAGTATTTTAATCGAAATTCATCCTGGCGCTTTGTAAACTGTTGGGCTATTGCATGGCACACCCTGTTTGAGTATCGCAAGACAGAGCGCTCTCCCTTTCTCTCGGTTAGACCATGGGACTATGGGTAGGTTGTCGATGGAACGTACTCCATCCCGTTTTAGCTCGAGAGTTCTTCGAACTGGTCGCTGGTAAATGCCGAGCCATTATCACGAACGACTGTACATGGTACGCCACATATAGTGAAGATGGTATATTCGAAACAGCAGAAGCTAACACACAGCTGTGCGGTTTGTTTAATAACCTGATCGACGACGAGCCACCTGATGTAATCGCTCACTAGCATTTTACTCTTTATATTTCCATTCTGACCAGTATAGAGGTCTCGTGGAATTATTTTACGATGCCATTTGGACGCAAGGACTAAAGAGTTTCAATATATACAACCGTCTTTGATGTTCTGTTCATCTATACGGCTGTGAAATTCTGTTAGACCCTTGCCTTTAGTGTAAGTTAAGCATATTGTCACCCGATTTAACAAGACAGTCGGAGAAGCACAGAGCGCCGAAGAAGCAGCTAGTGCTCATGTAGATCAATATGCCCCGACCCACAATCAATACCAATCGCCTGTGGACCCATTTAGTCTTTACTTCAGTTGCAATCGAGGATACGTATATTTACAAAACCGGGTTGAATAATAGTATAATGTAAGGAATATATGGAAGGATTTTACGGTGGAGGAGTCAGAGCAGGTTGAGCAGATGAACCGTGTGAGCGAGCTAGACAGTCAATAGGAGACGAGTGTAACAGATTCGCTTATTGTACGCAGACTGGCCGACAAGCCTGTGAGTTACCGTTTGTTTAACTGACTCAAAGGAGGAATCACATCAACTCAGTGGGGTCGTTAGTTATGGATGCGAATGTGCAACTTATATGGAGAATTTCGGCATACCAAACCTGCTGTAAGTTTTGCTAATTTGACTTTGCTCAATCGACATTTGGCAATGAAAGACTGAGTTTGTACTTTGGTGTCGGAGAAGACCAAGACTAACCCCAGCGACCGCCCTCAGATGCTGTTTGGATCAGCACAGGCTTTTCAAATGCCTGCCCCATTAAACATGGATGAACGGAATTTGGTGAGTAACTGGCGTCCATGGAAGTGCAAGTAAATAATTTCTTCACCCTATTGCTTTTGGACGATCAACCGAGGACAACTCGCTTGGCCATGTTTCGACGCAACCGTGGATGATACGCGCCTTGTGCTAGAGACAATTCTCGCAGACAGGGACAATGATCACATTGATTTGGAGACGGTCACGTAAGCGTTCATGGAATTTCAAGAACACCAAACCAACAAGATTTACTGACGCTATATATTCTTTACTCGAAGTACAGGCCTAAATGAATCCGTCGACGCGTGCATAAATGACCTGAAGATTTTTCGCCCGGTCCTGCAATTGCTGTAAATACATGGGAAACATGCTCATACGCGATCGGATGATTCTAAGAGTCAATAATGAAAGTGCGACAAAATGACTTTTGCGACGACGTAACTTATCGCTTCAGCAGTGTAGTGATATCTGAAACTGTGCGTCCTCGACTACCTATCAATACCAACAAATGAAACTCGCAAGTGACGTAGAATTGTGTACCGTTTTCGGAGGCAAAATAACGAAGGCTACCATGGTGAGACAGGAGATTTGCAGATATTGCGCTGCGCGACATCCGAGCATCCGCGAATAGTGTTCAGCGTGGGGCATGGAAATGCGGTAAGTGTGGAAAAAAGAACCACATTGCGCGTTGCTGTCAATCAACCAATTTGAGTGCGCTCATCCGTGAAAAATCACCCACAGACGTAGAATATTCAATTGTCAACGTGTGTTGGAGGTTATCACAAACATGTGTCTAAACAAGTTGGTTGATCATAGGCAAAGCAGTACGGTTCCAGTTAGATATGAGTGCTGCTGTCAGCATTCTACCAAGGAAAAACTGTCCAGGAGTGTGCATCCGATCAGTGGGTTTGGTTTAACCTCTCCCATCTTGATGTATTAGCCTGAATATTAACTACTAAAAACTAGCACTTTCTACTTCCTTCTCTTCGTGTCTTCGATTCTCTGAAAGCACGCACGGAATTTTTTGGTTTTGTACTTTGGTTAGTTTTATAGTTATTAAACAACGGGTAGACCTAGATTCTGAACAGTTGACATTGAAATATGCAATATACTTTGTCTCACACCCACCTCTTCCGCAACTCGATCTCTGTCTCTCTCGTATTGCTCTTCGCATTTCTGCCGGTTCTCCAGCTCCTGGTTCCATTCGTTTCCCAGAAGCTGCATCGAACCTATCTTCGTTAGTAGATCTTCTACCTGCTCCATTCGTGACTGATTCAATTCCGAAAATTCCTTCTGCACCTAATGGTAAAGAATGTACAGTTAAGGTAGAATGTCCACTTGAGTAGATGAATTGAGTTTCAAGCTGTATACTCAGAGCTGAACAGAAAACCTTTTTGCTCCGTCAAACGGTTTGTTTTGGGCTCTGCACCTTAGATATGACCTAAACAGGCCCCCGCTTTAAGTCGACCCAATGGCTGCGGAGTTATTGAATAGGATGTTATTATGGACACTTACTGTATTTCTCTGAGAACGCTTTAAAGTTATTCAGTCCCAAACGTCCACAGTACCCATCCATATAAAATACTGGTCAGGATCTCTTATAGCTAAAAGGAAAGCTAGTAAGCTGCAGTTTGTTTATGCTAAGAAAGAGTACTGACAGCGCAACCTGGAATAACCGAAGCTTGACTAGGTAAACAAATTCGCAAAACTTCTGGTTTACTAAAGAGTGTGGTGTCGGGGACACAGCAGTAGCTAGGCTTCGTTGACACTCAACCACCGGTAACCTGTATATATGGGGGTTAGAAATGCAAATACAATGACTTACCTCTCTATGCAGGCTCGGAAGAGTGACCCATGGGGTTGCAAGCCAGATCTCTAAACTACTCAGACACTGGTCAGGTAGAGTAACATAAGGTTGCGGTACATGGGCTACTGCATTTGTAGTTTAGTGACCGATGGTGAGTCACCCTTTGGTTTACATGGTTATTACACTACCCACAGGTTAGACGACGGATTGATCACGATGATGATTAGGACACCAGAAGCCATCTTGATGAGGATGTAGACGGAGCAACGTTGAAAATTTATAAACTGCAAATATACTATTTTGTGAACAAAAGAACAATTGTTTCGTAGACCTAAAAACTGAGGCTCTGCAAATCCCCTGGGATGACCTTGGCGAAATTAACGTGTCAGGAGAACTTGATGAATATACATTGCTTAACCAGATAATCTGCAGGAAGACACGTATAGGTTTTGTAGCAACTGTCTAGTACATAGAGATAGAGTCAGACGAAGCCATTAAATACAGCGGATGACAGGTGGAGTCACCGCAGAACGTCATTTTAGCATATTAGTTGAGGGTGAGCAACACGCTTTAGGTATTTTGCTGCAAAAAAGCGAAGCGGAACCTTTTTGTTACTTTTTCACACGCCGTTCTTTCTTTTTTCATTTTCTTTTACTTGTTAGGCGTTGACTATTTGAATCTAAACAACTACGTACCCAGAACTTCCACTGGTTTCGGTGGCGAGCCATATCCTGAATTGTTTCGAGCCATCGCCATTCTTCCCCTTAGGTCAACAACTAAGTAACAATACGTGAAGTCAATGATTTTATATGCTTCCGCCAGGTGAACGTTTGACCGCTACGTGGTCTCTTCCAGTTAAGTCGTGCAGACGTAAACAGAGCGGGATGGGGCCAACTCTTAGTTGACATGCGAGGATGTGACCGAGCCATCTTAACTGGTATATTAAAACCAGCTTGTTGTGCCCCATGCTGAGGCTGATGTTGCATTCATGATGCTTCTCCACCGTAGTTGGGCTAAACCAACTTACACCTAAACTAGCTGGATACATTTCATTTTTAAGTAACTTGTGGACATTTTTCCTTATCGCGGATTCGTTGCTAAACAACTTACTTACATGCTACTTTAGCGAAGAGTTATGCCTCCGTAGCTGTATGCATTATTCGCTTTATTTTATTTTATCTTGTCGTTCCAAGTGAATGGCTGTTGCTTGATATCCCCCGTGTGGCTGCGCTGGATGTGCATGTTGACAAGGTGCCCACCTGTCTATTACCCACTACCTCGTCCGAACTGGCTCCAAGAGACAGTTGGTCCTTGCTTGAGGGGACAGGGTGCACGGTCCTTGTGGCCGTGTTAGTATCAAAGAGTGGTTCCATGCACTCAGTATGGAGCGCCCTACGGTCCAGCCGCCGTTTTGTGTGCGCTTTTCTCCTGTATACTTCGTACATGTGTTTGCCTGTGAAGTAGTGTGGGCCGGCTCCGTTGCTGAAATGTGGCTCCCGTCCACATGCCTCCCGGTCTTATTCCTTCGGGTTTACACTGGATATGGGGTGTGTGGTCCCTCTGTAGGCGCAGGCGTCCTGTGGCTGGCCACAGTGACAGGCAAATCCGAAACCGGATGCCGCCAACCATTTGTTGAAAAGAGTACTCGCGTTCCCTGAGACACGACGTCTGGATTCCCGTTGCCAATACGTTGTTCCCAACACACACGAACAATTCTCCTCAGGCACCATTATCAAAGCCGGCAGTCTTCACATGTCATCTACGCGAACTGGTCATGACTCGCCACCGTACAGCAACACCGCTCGAACTGCGGCGTTGTAAACAGGCCTCTTAACCAACAGGGAGACATCCTGACGGTGCCACAACTGTTGCAGCTTGACAACCGCAAACCTGGCCTTGGCTATACCGAGAGGAATTTCTTTGGTGATAACGTCACCAGAAGACACGCAGCTGCCCATGTATACAAAGCTGTCAACATGTATATGTCGTGTGCCTTCAAGCTTGAGCACGGGAACGGGCGTGTGACAAGCCTTGAGCAACACTTTACACTTCAGCAACGCGAAGCAAATGCTGTATCTAGAAGCCTCAATTTCCAAACGGCCAAATATATTTTGTATACTTCACAAGTCGTCACCAAGTAGAGTGATGTCATCGGTATAGTCTAAGTCGCTTGCCCACTTACCCTGTAGCAGTTGCAGTCCAAAATGTTGGTAACCCTCTAGAACCGTCAACAGGACGTCTTCAATAGTATAAGTGTAGAGGAACGGAGACATATGGCTGCCATGTCGTACACCGCTTTTGACAGCGAAGGAAGAAGAAAGCTTGCCGTAGACCATCACTCTGCCAAAGACCTGGAGGTAGAGTGCGTGCAGGATGGCAATGTACTCGAGACCATGTCCTTTAGCAAGCAATGACATAGCACAGGTCAAACAACCGAGCCGAATGCAGCAGGGATGTCTAAAAAGGAAACGATGCTTGGCCTCTGGTAGAGGTGCCGATGTTCGAGGATTTGGTGGATTGTGGAGATTTGATCCACGCACCCACGGCCAGCACGGAAGCCAACCGAAATTTAGCCACAACACGCAGCCCAGGAAATTGTGGGAAATTGTGGGAACAATAAAGCCGTCTGGAATGTCGACGGAATTACGTTTCCCTTGGGGTGTGTCAACCCTGGAAGGCACTCCCAGACACACTTACATCTTCCCTTACTTTGAATATGTTCGAAAAACGATTGGATGTTTCTCTTAGCTCTCAGCACCCTGTTACCTAAACTACATCATTTTGGATTACCTTAATCATGTGTCACATGGACTCAAGAGGGCGGTGCATAAATGAGCGAATATATTTTTGCTTTTCTCAGGCTTTACAGTAACGAGCACTGCACCCCGTAAATTTCTGCATGCATGCACTCGATTTCTAATATACACTAACGTCATTTATCAACGCATTTTCTCGTTAGATACTCGGTAGACGACTCACAAATATTTTAGGTTCATGGTATTCACCCCAACTACGGGACGTGTCAAGCACTTTCTTTTATCCCGTGGTAAATCTGTGTTCATTGTTCCTCTCGGCACTATGATTCACGAATCGGAGATAGTCTACACATTAGAATGGATGCCAATAGATTTGAAGCAAACAAAATGGATCTGACGCCTCGGTGCTTAGCGTATAAAGTGCGGGCACCCATTTTAAAAATTGGGACAATGACTGAATCGCCCCATGAAGAGGGTAGCATTCTTCGTGCAAGATTTTAGAGAACGATTAGGTTAACTGACTGGTGATAACTGTGCTACCATATTTGAACAGTTCCGGGAGAAGTCCGTCTGAGCCGGTAGCCTTGAATCGCTTCAAATGCCGAATCTCAAGACAAACTTCTGGTTCCCTTGGTGCGTCAAGCGTAACGTCCTAGGGTGGGCAGCTTGGTTCGCATAGTATACAGGTGGGCGGTGAAGGCCTATCCAATACAAAGACCACATGAAGTAAGAACAGCAGGAATATGCCGGCCGAGTATCACCAGTGGTGCGAGCGCCAGGAATACGATGATGTCCCACGCACCTACGCAGATTCGTACCAACGAATTTTGGGTCGCAAATAAGATGCACTACGCCTATCGGCCGCCGACCGAAACATGCGTGTCTATATTTATGAAGAGCACGAGATGTTGTCAAGCACAATTGGGGGACTAGGTCTTCAAGTTGTTCGTAAGACACTTATAGTGTGCGAGTAGGACTAAGCGGTCCAAAGGGAATTCATTGGCTAACACATCCGAAAATGGGAACTTTCGTAGAATTTCCAGCTGGTCAAATTGGGTAGATGGTGTTCTGTGAATGGTGAGCTAACCGATATTTGAACAGGGGTGCAGCACCTTCTTGTTGTCCTGGAGGAGGTTGATTGTGAACGCCGATACTGTCCATCTCAAATCCACAGAAATCATACTGAAATGATTCCTGTCACGTACGCGAATGACTTCGATCCGGTTACTCAGCCGTGCGTGGATTGGTGACCACACAAAACAGCCAGCCAATCATCAGACACACACCCCCGGTCTCGCAACGCGAGTTCCGTGAGTTTTGTACCTTCCTCAATTGATTGATAAACCTCCTGCTGCTTAGACGTCTTCTGCTTGCTGGGATTACGTGTCTCGGAAGCGTGCGTTACATGCTTAGTGGTACTACGTATTAATTCCGAAGTGGGAAGAGGCCTCCACTATCCTTAATAGTCTTTCGTTGTTAGGTCTCTAGTGCAGCGAGATACTGGCATAGCCAGAACAGCCAGTAAGATTGTATTTCGCATACCTGTACATGCAGGCGGAGTGCTTAGAGTCAAACCGAATAAAAACTTATATGAGTAACCAACCGGTGTTCGGAGAACCCGAATTCAGACAACACCGCGAAACGGTGTTCGAACTTTGTAATTGCGCACGAAAAGCAGTCAAACAGAATGTTCCCAATCAGAGCGAAACTGACTACAGATTAACGTATACAGATTA